CCTGTTTACTGTAGCTCGTGCTGAATGCTTGGAATGTTGGGAACATCTGGCCCCAGAGTCTCATATTTTGCATCTCCTTCCATCTTCATATAACCTGACCAATTTCTGCTGTCCCTGCTGAAGAAAGGCTTTCATACATCATCATGCTGCCACTACTATATCTTGCAGTGAAGATGGATGATTTAGTGTTGTGTAAGAAGTTTGGAGAGGACAAGTATTCTTGTCAAAGATGTGAAACTGCTAGTTACCACATGTCTGAAGCATTTCACACTGCTTCAGGAGATCATGTTATTTAAATATCTCCAAAACTGGATTGGCCTGCTGTACTTTTGTTCTTCATGAAGCTATTGTTGGATATGTGGATTAGATTTTTATCAATACAAAGTTTTTCTTCTACTTTAAATCTCCTTTTGCTTTAATTAATGTTGGTCTGTCATGGGATTTCAGGAAAATACAATGAAGTTTGCGGTTTTAATCTGACTTTCGGAAGGTATTGCATTTGTTTTTTTGTTTTTTTTTATTACAGTTTTGAGGTTTTAAAGTAGTTTCATAGAATAAAGATGGAGCAAAAAGAAATGAATATGAGGGGTAAACTGTGACAAAATGATATCCAAACGTTGTGACTTTGTTCACTTTTTAAACACTTCAGTGACACATTTTATCCTGCTGAGTCTGAGGAATGTTAAAAACAAAAAAACCTCACAGCAACATCTGTAGCTACAGCCTCCAGTTTCATGTTATGTCTCTGATTCCCAGCAAAACAAGATATAAACACCAACTTAACAGAAACAAGCGCTCACGGTATATATGAAGTTAAACCCGGCGATCAGTCAGGTCAAGCAGCTTTAATCTGATTTTTTTTTTGCTATTTTATTTCTATTGTATTCAGATAACAGCCTCTATAATTGTTTTCATCTGGAAGGTATGCTTATAGAACATTTACCATTAAACATGTTTAAAATCAGGGATTTCAGACATAAAAAATGCAATATGAAATGAACCTTTAGCTATATTTCTGAGGTCCAGGCGTCCAGTGAGGTCGTTCTCCATTTAATAGAGCTGTTTGCATTCCTAAATGAGCATTGATCCAGTACCTCCTCAGCTCTTCCTCTTTCATGGCGGTTTCTGTAATCTCGTCATATAAATTGTGGTGTGACTAATTTGATGTTAGACCGTGGGTGTTTTTTAGAGGAGTTGTTCCTTGGGTCAAGGCGAAGGTCATACTGTAACTGAATGTGTTGGTCTGGAAAAGCACAAACAGGTGACAAAATGCAGTTTTTTGTGTTCTTTTTAAAGAATCTTTTGATCAGTGAAGGCAAAAGTAGAAAAAATGTCTTTGGTTTGACTTTAAACTGTATCTTATCAGATTAAAGAGCTTTTAACTTTCTAAATTCAGCCAAAATTAAGCCTCACAACCAAAGTGATTAAAATGGAGATGAGGGGAAAAGGTCCTTTTCTGTTTCTGTTGAATTCATGTGACTAAAAAAACCAACTGTGATCGTTCAGCAGTAACATGGGGTGATGTGATGTTAACAGTAACTGGGTAAAATAAAGTTGATTGAATCTGTTTTTGTTGTTTATGATAAGCAGACGGCTCCACAGCGCCACCTTCCGGTCACACAAGCAGCCACCTCATTAATAACAGAAAAGTTTGTTGCTTTAGCCCAGAATAAAAAACAATCTTTAGAGCCTCACTCATCATTTTAGACATAACAGAACAAGGCCACTCATCCTCAGAAATCTCAACATAGACGTCAGAAGTGGGGGAAACCGAGGACGTTCAGGAGATTTTAAAATTGAGATAACTAAATGGTCTGGCTTGTGCAATATAACACTTTATCTAGAGCAAGAACTCACAAATCGCTTCACACTACAAGTGGTTCACCTACTGTCGCACGCTGATGGTGGTAAGCCACATTATAGCCACAGCAGCCCTGGGGTGAAGCCATTTTATAAGTACCACCAGAATAAGGAAAGGCAGCAATGTGTGGATGTACAATTAGGAAAATAAGTATTTGAACACTGTGGTATTTTGCAAATACTCTCACTTAGAAATAATGGAGGGGTCTGAAATTGTCATCATAGGTGCATGTCCATTATAAAGGACATAATAAAAAAAATAATAATTCAGAAATCAACATGTATGACTTTAAAAAAATATATTTTAGTTAAAATACTTATTTGCAGCTGTATCTTACAAATACAAAATTTTAAAAATCATAAAATGTGATTTTTGGATGTTTTTATTTTTAGATGTCTCTCACAGTGGAAATGCACCTATGATAAAAATTTCAGACCTCTCCATGATTTCTAAGTGGGAGAACTTTCAAAATAGCAGGGTGTTCAAATACTTCTTTTCCTCACAGTATCTAGCTCAAAGAAGGATGCTGGAGATGGTTGGAGCACGGGATGGGACCAGCCGTAGGACAAACCCCTGAGCCATAAGATTACAAATCCTCTTCCTCTCTCACTTCTGATCCCTACACTCAGTCAAATTTAATGCTCTGGTGAAATGCATGAAACCATACGGTACTAGAAAATAAGGAGAAAAATAAGTAATTTGTTTCTGTTTTATTTTAATTTAAAAAAATCCAAATAGAAAACTAAACTCAATTTCTTCCAGTTTGGACACAGAAACACTTTATATTTAATGTCTGATTTTTGTATTGCAAAACTAATTTAAAATCGTCTCGTTTTTTTTTTTTTTTTTTTTTCTGAAGCCCTTTTATAAAATAACCAAAAAATACACTGACCTTCCACCAAGATCAGTGGAGTCATCTACCTGGACATTTCAGAGCCCATTTTTCCTTTAGACCAGGGGTCTTCAACGTTCTCCAGGCCAAGGACCCCAAAACTGATGGCGAGATGGAGCGGGGACCCCCTAATTATTTATATTGTATGAAATTGTGTTATATCAAACTGGTCTTATATCACTCTATTACGATGGTGTCATGTAACAAAAGTTACATGACTCCATCCAATACTTGAATAATCCTGGGATTATTAAAGTATTTCTGATTCAGATTCCTTGTTGATGGGACAGGTGTTGTGAGTGAAACGGTGCCCAGCTTAAAAGAGCTCCTGTGTGTCACTGAATTCAATTCAGTTTTTTTCTATAGCACCAATTCACAACACGTCATCTAAAGGCACTTTACAGTTCAACCAGATCATTCAGTCAAATTGATTCAAAGTTTTCTACACTATATTGCCAAAAGTATTTGCTCACCTGCCTTGACTCACATATGAGCTTAAGTGACATCCCGTTCCTAATCCATAGGGTTCAATATGACGTCGGTCCACCCTTTGCAGCTAGAACAGCTTCAACTCTTCTGGGAAGGCTGTCCACAAGGTTTAGGAGTGTGTTTATGGGAATTTTTGACCGCACACTGATGTTGGACGAGAAGGCCTGGCTCTCAGTCTCCGCTCTAATTCATCCCAAAGGTGTTCTATCGGGTTGAGGTCAGGACTCTGTGCAGGCCAGTCAAGTTCATCCACACCAGACTCTGTCATCCATGTCTTTATGGACCTTGCTTTGTGCACTGGTGCACAGTCATGTTGGAAGAGGAAGGGGCCAGCTCCAAACTGTTCCCACAAAGTTGGGAGCATGGAATTGTCCAAAATGTCTTGGTATGCTGAAGCATTCAGAGTTCCTTTCACTGGAACTAAGGGGCCAAGCCCAGCTCCTGAAAAACAACCTCACACCATAATCCCCCCTCCACCAAACTTTACACTTGGCACAATGCAGTCAGACAAGTACCGTTCTCCTGGCAACCGCCAAACCCAGACCCGTCCATCAGATTGCCAGATGGAGAAGCGCGATTCGTCACTCCAGAGAACGCGTCTCCACTGCTCTAGAGTCCAGTGGCGGCGTGCTTTACACCACCGCATCCGACGCTTTGCATTGCACTTGGTGATGTATGGCTTGGATGCAGCTGCTCGACCATGGAAACCCATTCCATGAAGCTCTCTGCGCACTGTTCTTGAGCTAATCTGAAGGCCACATGAAGTTTGGAGGTCTGTAGTGATTGACTCTGCAGAAAGTTGGCGACCTCTTCGCACTATGCGCGTCAGCATCCGCTGACCCCGCTCCGTCAGTTTACGTGGCCTACCACTTCGTGGCTGAGTTGCTGTCGTTCCCAAACACTTCCATTTTCTTATAATACAGCTGACAGTTGACTGTGGAATATTTAGGAGCGAGGAAATTTCACGACTGGATTTGTTGCACAGGTGGCATCCTATCACAGTTCCACGCTGGAATTCACTGAGCTCCTGAGAGCGACCCATTCTTTCACAAATGTTTGTAAAAACAGTCTGCATGCCTAGGTGCTTGAATTTATACACCTGTGGCCATGGAAGTGATTGGAACACCTGATTCCAATAATTTGGATGGGTGAGCAAATACTTTTGGCAATATAGTGTATCTAAGGAAAACCAGTTGAATTGTGCCTCCATTTATCTGTTTACTAAAGTGTGTTTAATTCATGTTAGTGTTTATTTAAAGACACTTAAATTAGTGGGAAAAAAATTGCAATGGGGAATATATAAAAAAAAAAAAGTCAAATCAACCATAACTTTCGCGACCCCCCCATACAGTACTTCCATAGACCCCCTGTTGAAGACCTCCGCTTTAGACTCATGCCTGAACTCACAATGCAGCCCAGCCGAAAATCAGACTGAACTCGATCTCCCTCATGCTCCACTGCACTGATGCAGTAATTAATGTAAAAGGAACCCCAACCAAGCACTCAGAAACCCTATAAACTGGGTCTTTTCTTCTTTTTAAGCCAGTTTCTTTGGTAAAAAGTCCTTCATAACCTATAACAGGCAGTATATTTTTTAACTAGATTCTGGTTTTATTTAGCCATTACCTTGTATTAATCTAAATGAGTTAATACAGTGTGTAACTAATCGAAACAGCTTTTTAAATTTTTGAATAAAACTCCTGAAATAAATGATTCACATTCTGCTTTACTGAATCACGCTTCAGCAGACGGCAGGAATGCATTACAAAAGCGTTTTATTCAAAGGCACAATGTTGAGAAGAAACCACAGAGGATAGGCAGGCTGTCAACAAACCTGAAACTTTACGCACTTTTTTCACAAAAAGATCAGACAAATACAACAGATTGGCATAAACTGGACTCACAAATACAAATTCAAGATTAGTCTGCAGAAGAAAATAGTGTTATTGGGAAGTAGTGGGATGAAACGGGTACATGTTTTGCTTTGTGGGAATAAGTGATACATATACACATAATATAACTCAGCTATCACCAGATAATAAAATACTGCAAAAAAAAAAAAAGACAGTTTTATGGTCCGACTGTAAAATACCACTCCTCTAATCTCATGTTGCTCTGATTGTACAAAGTGATTTATTGTAACAAGCTTCATGGATTTACCAGCACCAGTTTGGTCGATTCGATTAGAGACCACCGATGCTGAAGGACAATCGTTTCTGTGATCAAACGCATGAATCCATTATAAAATCAAATCTACATTAAGTAACACTGGACTTTATGAGTTGTAACCAGAAGTAGTGTTTGGTCTCCTCGAGGTGAGGCCTTTTCGCAGCAGGCAGGTAAAGCAATCCAAAAACATCACTGCATGTAACAACTTCAGCTCAGTGATAAAAGATTAATCTTCACATTGAAGAAAAAAAAGGTGCAAAGACGGGATCCTTCAGCGCACGCCGACTATAAACAAGTGACCTTTGCTCACACCTCGAGTCGCAGAAATCTTGTAAAGGCTGCTATCTTTGGAATGTGTTGGACTTTGCAAAGGTTGCGTTTCAGGTGGCACTTGGATAACATTTACAGCTCTGTCTCCTACAGTTAACCTTCTGCTTGTTACATTGCTGCTCACTTATTATTACACTTCGATAAAAAAAAAAAAAAAAATCAGACTTGGCATTTTGATTCAACATTCTTCACATCAGAGGATACATTGACAAAAATAGATAAATAATGATATAAATATTTGGAAGAAAAGGCATCTAAGAGTTCAGATTTTCCTCATTTGTAGCGTCCACTTGTAACAAGCAGTGCTGAAGTTAAAATGTCTTTTGGTTTTTGTTGAAGACTGTAAAGGCAAAGGAGCGTCAGCTTTCAGGCTCTTCACAGGACGTGTCAGTAGGAGGGTTTGGGTTTAGCTAAGAAAAACAAAGAGGTTGTGAAAGCTAACTTCAAGTATGGATGGATTAGTTTTCAGAGAAACCCTCTCAGCATGGTTCAGGCTTGAACAACAGGCGTTCCTGTGCAGCCGGAGCTGCGTTAGATCAGCAGATCTCCTCCTCGCACAGCGCCTCCCCCACCAGCAGCGAGTGTTTGTCGGGCTCGCTCAGCACCAAGCTGTTGAGCGAGTGTTTGTCGGAGCGCAGCGAGTTGATGGAGGCCCGGCTGTAGTTCACGATGCGATCCAGCAGGCTGAGTTTGGGGGAGGGACGGCGCAGATCCCCCATGCCGATGTGGACGCTGACGTCAGACAGGCTGCCCTGCCGCCTGCTGTTACCCAGTTTGGCTTCCAGCTTCTCGGCGCTGGGCTTCGTGTAACTACAGGAAGACGGACAAAGATAGAGGTGAGGGAAAACAAGGAGGGCAAAAGACATCCTGCTGAAACATAAACATCTTTTTACCATTTCAGCAGGAGAGACGACAAAACCACAGAGACAGAGGAGAGTGCCATCGCTGCAGAGCCCATCCACGGCTGTAAGACCAGGCCGATGGGCAGGAACACACCTGGCGGAAAACAACAGACTGAATACCAGCAGACTTAAAAATATTCAAATCACATCTGTCGATGTCAGGGTCGAAAAATTACATTTATGCTAAATTTAAAGGCAAAATAACATAAATGTCCTAGAATCACATTCAAGTTTTTTTTTTTTTATAGATTGACAGAGGGTTATGAATTTAATCTTTTGATAAAAGGAAGTGTAACAAAGTCTTGATTTTTAAACTACTTTCCTTAACTTATATTTGGTCAGACCTAACAGAAAAGAAATCTTTGAATGACCCTACCTGCAGCAATAGGAATGCCAACCAGGTTGTAGATAAGAGCAAAAATGAAGTTGATCCTGATCCTCTTAACCGTCTTTTTGGAAAGGTCGATACTGGCGACAACATCCAGCAGGTCGTTCTGCAAAACGCAAAGAGAAAACAGATCTAATCTTTCAAACTAAGCATAAATGCTTCCTTTAAAAAAGCGCTAAAATAACCAATATGATAGTAGAATAAAAGCTCAGTTTCTGTTACCCTGATCAGCACCACATCTGCTGCCTCAATGGCCACATCTGTCCCGGTTCCTATGGCGATGCCCACGTCAGCCATTGCCAGAGCAGGCGAGTCGTTAACTCCGTCGCCGACCATCGCTACTCTCTTTCCAGCCTGCTGCAGCTGCTCCACTTTAGCCACCTTGTGGGAGGGCAGCACCTCCGCAAATACCTTCCTGATGCCCACCTGTTGGAAAAGTGAAACAGCTGCAATGAGCGGCTTCTAGAGAGGCTTCCAAAAGTACTAATGCTTACAAACCTACTAAGACGTGGCTATCTAATCAAAAATGAAAGGGCAGCGATGGAGTCTATTGGTGTAGGAACACTGGAAAAGCTGCAGAGATCACGGCTTTGATAGGTTTACAATTAGCGGCGTCATTACCACTGAGCAGCAGGAAATAAAGGCTGTTGTTAAAAGTAAGAAAAAAATAATTTCCTCATTGGCTGAAAGCATCCCCACTCTGGAACATGTTGGTGGCAGCATCAAGCTGTGGGGATGCTTTACTTTAGAGGGGAAAGGGACAGATGGGGATCAAGACCAATCAATTCTGAAAGAAAACTACAATGAAAAGTTTTCAAGCATATTTGAGTGTCAAAATGGCCCAGTCAAAGTCCAGAAGACCTGCGGCTCTAATTTACTGGCTCAGGGGGACTCGATATAAAATGTCTGCAACACTTTAAGGGTTTGTTTTATTTGTTGAAATCTGTTCTTCTCACTTCACAATTGTGCCAAACTTAAAACTACAATTGTTAACAATACTTACAATTAATTGTTAATTAATGATTTATTAGATTATATCTGATTATTTGATACTGTTTACTGAGAAGTAATATGGTGTTGTAATGTTGCTGCTGTCCACTAGAGGGCAATGCTGGTTATTGTTAAGCAGCACCTCAGTGGTACTGTTGAAGAGTTAGGTCAGAGTGGAGGTATACTAGAGCGGATAATAAAAAGTCTGGTGTGGATAATTAATGTGTTAAATTGCAACAAGGAAGCAGAATTAACTTTAAGCTGTTCTGTTAGTAAATATAAACACTGGATAAACTCTACATAGGGGAAATTGCCCCTATGTAGAGGGCTAGCTGCTGCAGCATATCTGCTGTTTCAGAAGGACGAGATGGAGCATAAAAAAAACATTTGTAACATGATGGCTACATCGTTTCATGATTTTGAACATCATTTAAAAAATGTTGCAAATAGTTTGACAGCGTATCAGAGCCACAGATCTTATCTTTAAATTAGAAATTATCTTTTAAGTTTAATAATGTGTAAGAAAACATATTTTAGCTCTTTAACACAGATGGTACAATCAATGGTTAAAATATAACAACACAGCATTTGGTTTTCTTTCAGGATATTGGGAAAAGAAGAAGCCCCTCTTGATATGAGACAAAATTCAAATTTTTAAGATAATGCATGCTTATCAATTGATCTCATAACTTTAGATTAATTTGTTAATCAATAACTTGCAACTTGAAAGGTGAAAGTTGTAATGTTTTAAAAACGTTTACTGAAGCTCAGCTGCACTCACCTGCGCAGCAATAGCCCGCGCCGTCTTGCTGTTGTCTCCGGTCATCAGCACCACTTCCAGACCCATGCTGGTCAACGTGTGGACCGCCAGCTCCGCCTCAGGTTTCACAGTGTCAGCTATGGCCACCATTGCACACAGCTCATCTACAAGCAATAATATATATATATATATTTTTTAAAAGCTTTTATCATTTTATCATTATCATTTAATATTTCTTATAGGAAACAATCTCTTACTGTCTACAGCAACTAGTACGGCAGTGCGTCCTCTGCGCTCATGCTCGATCATGGCTTCATCGATGTCTGGTCTGAGCTGAAGGCAGTTTCTTCTCATCCACTCCCTGTTGCCGATCAGGACAACATATGCCGCCGTCTGAACCAAACCTAAACGGTGACGTTAGAAGGTGTTAGCTCAATTCTGTTCAATTTAGTTTCAATAAACAAATAATTTCTCTGCGCACTTAGCGGCTGTGGATCCATGGTGAGCGGGTGGGAGTTTGCCGGCAAGCGAGTGTCACTGATTTGGACGAGGGCGCCGCTACGCTGGTTACTATCCTCGCTGTCGCTGTCCGCCTGCTTCAGTAAATACTCCGTGTTGCTGACCTGACAACGGATGCCGCAGCCCGGCACCGCCTGGAAGTCGGTGCAGGTGCCGAGAGATTCCGTGCCGAGCTCCTTTTTCACAAAAGATGAAAACACAAATAAACTGTCCTTTAAAACAACCTGAGAGCAGTGTGGGCAGACGGATTATATCTGAGTGAAAAACCAACCTGTTTACAGTATTTAGTAATAGCGGCTCCTAGTGGGTGTTCACTGTTGTTCTCCGCCGTACCTACAATGGCCAGCAGGCGGGAGCGAGGCATCTTGTTCCCTTCCACAACCATCTTGACTTGGATGACCTTAGGAGCACCATATGTGATGGTGCCGGTCTTATCGAACACCACAGACTGGACCTAAAAAAAGGTGATTCAAAAATAAGTAGGAGAGACTTAGATAGTTTGGATGATTAAAGAAATGCAAGATCTGCACAAGATCTACTCATCTAAAAAGAAAATGACAAAGGAAAATAAATCTACTTCGGAGAACCAAAAGCTTATATACCAGCAAAAACACAAATAGAATGAGACGGTTAGAGTGGGACTGAAAAGTATTCAATCAGCCACTGATTGTTCAACTTCTCTAAATACAAAGATCAGAGGTCTAATTTTCATCATAGCGACACTTTATGAGACAAAATGAGAAATGCATCCAGGAAATCACATTTGTAGATAAATTACTTCTAAATTATGGAAACAAATAAATATTTAGTTGATAATAAAAGCTCACTTCAACACTTAGAAGGCTAACCTTTGTAGCAAATGATGGAGGTCAAACATTTCCTGTCAGTTTTCTCACACTCTAGCTGCTATTTTGGTCTATTCCTCACCAGACCTGTAAAGTGGTGATGATTCTGCACTATTGCTGAACTTTAAAGTAAATTTTCTATGGGATTAAGATAGAAAATGAAGCCATTTAAGCAGGTTTTGGCTTAAATTCTCCCCATACACCGCCCATTCATTCCTTTACATGGAACACTCCATCTGTCCCCATTTGCAGAAAAACAACCCCGCAGCATGACGCTTCCACCACCTTGCTTTACAGTAGATACGGTGTTCTTGGTGTGCAGCTCAGCATTCTGATTCTTCCAAAAAGTCCTACTTTGCTTTCATCTGGCCACAGGTTATTCTCCCAATACCCATCTGGATTCGTCATGTAATCTCTGCCAAACTCCAGATGAACATAAACTGGCTTAACCAGGAGGACATGCCTGATGACGGTAGTCTTTGTTACTTTGGTCCCAACTCTTATTCATCAGGTTCGTCTGTGTAGTTCTGGGATTTTTGCTCACTGTTCTCATCTATTGGGTTGGTCTTGTATGTCTTCCATTTCCTAACAGTTGCTCCCAGTTTAACTAGGCATCATTAATCAGGGTTCCTACAGCATAAGGCAAGTTAAATTGAAGACTTTTTAATGCCATTTGCAATAAAAATTTAAGACCGAATTTATAAGAAACACAAGAAAAACCTGTTTGCGACAACTTAACCCAAAGGTTTATTTTAACATAAACCACTGCACTAATGTTTCAAATTTTGAAAAAACTTCCCATACAGGAAGAAAGCAAAAAACACACAAATGACAGATATATTTTAACAATTATTTAACTGAATTCACAAACTTTGTTTTAGCAGGGAACAAAACAAATCAGTTTTAAAGCCACAACATAACCAGTGCCAAGTCTTTTTTTCAGCTATTTTTCTTTGTATCCTTTTCTCAGTATGTTTGATTTGGTGATAAGTGGAGGCGTTGGAGACAAGGGTGGAACAAAACTGAGAAATACTGGCTGTTTCTCGGTAATTCCATTTTGACGATTTGTGTTTCTTGCTTCGCATGTGCGACTCCACTGCCTTAATTCCCATCGTTCCGAGCCTGAATAACTTCTTGCACAAAATCCACTGAGCCTCATATATGTCCCCTGGTTTTAGCCATGGAGAAAACTCTTGGCTGGAGCCAATTTCCATTACATTTACACTTGCTCATATTTTCCAGACAAAAACTTAATGGTGCATCTCCCAAAATATCCCGGCCGCAACAACGTTGTATTGGTTCCGCTATAGGGACGGAACCAATAATGGCGAGTCGTTATTTTTTTAAATAAAAAAAAAATTGTCAATTTTAATGTTTTATTTAGATTACAAAAATAAATTGTAATAAAAATAACGTTTTTAATACCAATTAAGGCCTTGGTTTTATTTTGAAGAACTCAATGCCTTTTAAGACTTTTTAATGACCAGCGGGAACCCTGATAATACATCTAACAACTGTAGGACAGAAGAGCTTGTTAAAGAAGTTGCTACAGGTTTCCAAGCTTCAGATCTTTTGTTTTCTTTGACCAAATACTTACTTTCCATCATAATTTATAAATAAATCATTTAAAAAATAAGGGGGAGAGACATGCGGCAAAGGACCACAGGTTGGATTCGAACCCGTGTCGGCCGCGTCATGGACTAGGGCCTCCGTACATGGGTCATGCACGCTAACACTCGGATTTCTTTTTTTTCTTTCCATTTTATCTCTGCAGTTCAAGTCTAGCTATGTTGAAAATGACAGACCTCTCATCTTCCTAAGTAGGAGAATTTGCACAATCAGTGGATTATTATACACTTATTGGCCAAATTGAATTGATGGATAAAAACCATAAGACATGAAAGTCTAATACTTCAACAATTTCCACATCAATTTATTTTATTTTTTATTTTTAAATACTAAAGCAGATCTGAAAAATGCCTGAAACAGACTCTTTTTTTCTTGTAAACAGTTTACTGTCAAAAGATCGATCCAGACGCACCTTATGAGCCATCTCTAGGGGCTCTCCTCCTTTTATCAGGATCCCATTTTGTGCTCCAACCCCAGTGCCCACCATGACAGCTGTTGGTGTTGCCAGGCCAAGAGAACAGGGGCAGGCGATGCACAGCACGGTTATGGAAGCCTGGAAAGCGAACCGAATCACTGCCTCGGTCCTGGAAATGCTTCGATCGTAACCCTGCAACAATAAAACGGGACAAGTAATGGGAGGATCTGGTTAAAATAAAATGTCCCCGGGAAAAAAAACAATCTAATGTGTTTCCTGTTATACGAAAAAAACATCTACTGTAACATAAATGAACTTACAGGAAAGAAATCCTCCACCAGAGAAAAGTCCAAAAACCCAATAATGATCCAGGCAATCAGAGTGAGCAGAGATATTCCAACGATGAAGGGAACAAAGTAGCCACTGATCTTGTCTGCATACTGCTGGATAGGAGCCTACAATGACAACATTAAATCATTTATGGGTTTAAAGCACACTTGTCCTACACAATATATATACACTGGCTTTAAAAAGTGTTCACACCCCTTGAACTTTTCCAAGTTTTGTCGCATTAAAACCACAAACTTGAATATATTTTATGGGAACTTTATTAGAAAGACCAAGACAAACTGGCATACAACTGTGAAGTAAAATGTTTTTTTATTTAAAAATACACAAACTTGTGCATTGTGTAAAAGTATTAAAGTCTTTATAAGCACAGATAACTCACCTTAGAAGTCTGAGCCTCCTCCACAAGTTTAACGATCTGAGACAGCGTGGTGTCCATCCCAACGTGAGTAGCACTGACCAGCAGGGAGCCGTTCTGGTTTATGGAGCCTGCGATCACTGAGCTGCCGGGCTTTTTGGTCACTGGCATGGCCTCTCCTGCAATCACAAGATAATCAGAGACACTGGAATATTTACACAAATGTAGAAGTTATGGAGCAGTAACAATCATTTTCTGAACTATCCTACTTTCATGTGGTTCTTTAAACCATAAAGTCTGAATAGACAGCAATGTAAATTACCTGTTATAAGAGACTCGTCCGCCATCGAATGTCCCTCGATGACCCTCCCATCGACCGGGAACTTCCCTCCAGGGACGACTTTGACCACGTCGCCTCTCTGTACCAGCTCAACTTCTACCTGTTCCTCACTATAAGAACAATGACATAATAAAAGCTCTTCAGTCAATATTATCCGTATTACTTTCCATATGCTGAATCCTATGGAGTGAATTTAGTTTCATTATTGTTACAAGCAAAGAGCAACTTTTGTAAATGAAAATTTGGAGAGAAAAAAAGTAAAAACAAAACAAAGAAAAAAAACCCAACTCATTTTGCAATTAACCTAACTATTTCATATTTTCTTGATTCAAATTGTGTTTTTGCATTCTTATTATTTCAAACTTAATTTTCTTAAGCGTTTACATCCGTTTTTTTTTAAAGACACTTAATATTTAAGTTCTTTTTGCTTTTCTGACATTTTTTCTATTTCTTTCATTTTCAGATTTTATATTCTCTTCCCTTCAGCTAATACAACAGTTTGCTCCTAATCTGCACACTGACCAATACTATGTTATTACGAATATCCATGAAGACCAATAGAAATGTGACTTGGCTCCAGAGGAGAGCCCACATCCAGAAGTGAAGGAAATGTGATCTATGAAAGGCGTAAATAATATAATTTGTGAAACTCAATCTGAAAAATGGTCATTTGAAAATATAATCAAATCTGTATAAAAAGAATGTGAAAAAAAAAAGTTTCGAAAGAGATAAGTCTAGAAAAAGAAGAAATACAATATATTACATGCAAAAAAAAACAAAAAAATATGAAAGACTGAAAAAATCTGAAAAAACTAAATCAGAGAAAACAGCCGTTTTGTTCCCACCTAAAGCAGCAGAAGCAGAAGGAGCAGCTAGTTTAAATGCAAAGTCAATGGTTGATGCGCATCAACGTGCAGCACAATGTCCTGCAGCGCATCTGAGCAGCAGAAGCAGCGCGTCGTGAGCTTCTGAGTATGTGACGCGCTGCAAACGCAGCAGTTGCTGAAGTTGGAAGATTTTAACTGTTGCTGCTCGACGCGTCACATCAACCAATCAGAGAAGCTGATCTGGGAGCTGGCAGGGAGAGAGAAACATCGCTAGTGATGCAGAGCGCTATGATCCTTCATCTTAAACAGTTTATTAACGCAAAAAGTACTTAAAATGCCAAAATCTGCAGACAAAACTTGTTCATTTTTATTATCCTGGTGCCTGCAGTTTGGATTACGTACATAAAAATCGCCTTCCAGCTGACGCGGCAAACCATGAAGCAGCGACCAGGCCAGAGGCTGCTGTCGAATGGGATTCCTAGTGACAGCGCACCGTCGGCATGTTGGGGTCTGAGCGGCCCTGATAGCGAAATAATATTGGAATGCAGGATCGTGATCTGGATGAACTGACTGCACAGATGAAGTTTTAAGGTGGACTTTATCACTTAAAATATAGTAAAGCTACTTTTTACCCACTGATCACAGCAAATATGGCTGCCATTGTTACTGGCAAAGAAATTATGGGTAGCTCCGCCCAATGTGCATCAGACCCACTTTTCCACCGTGCGGCTGGAGCAGCAAAGATGCTGCAAAAGCATCGAAAATATAGCAGCATGCAGGTTTTTGCTGCTTTCGCTCTGAACGTAGAATTACTCTCAAAATCCTTTTTTTTTTATATATATAAACCAAAAAAAATTTTTTGTTTTTAAAGTTTCATTTGTAGTTTGCACCATTTCTTTTAAATATCCATTTACAAAATATGATTTTTCCAAAATTCTGTTTACAAAGCATGATGTTTGCCTGCAACATTAATGGAACAAACTTCCCTCCATAAATCCTCACATATCATAGACTAATCAACAAAGTCAGGGCTTTCAGTTCAGAGATGTAAAAGTTGTTTGTGAACAAAGTGATTTGAAAACAAGTAGAACCTGAGAATAGAGTTATCACTGCTGAGAGTGACAACGGTGGCCTCTGTAGCCTGCAACGACATCAGCTTGGACAAAGCCTCAGATGTTTTGCTCTGGAAGGAGGCACAGTAAAAACTTTACATTAGAAAAAAAACAAGCTGGAGTTAAAATGCTTTTTCTAATTGGACCATAAATAAATAAATAAATAATTATGATGAAGGCAAACCTTTGCAATCTGCTCCAGCCAGCGCCCCAGTGAGATAAAGACAAAGAGCATGGGAGGCGTGTCAAAGAAGGTGATGGGGTTGACTTTTGCTTTCTCCGCCATGGCCACGATCAGGATGACCAGAGAGTAGCTGAAGGCGATGGTGGTGGCCAGAACGATGAGCATGTCCATGTTGGCAGACTTGTGCTTAAATGCTTTCCAGGCTTGAATGTAGAAGTAACGGCCTCCAATAAACTAAGCAAAACAGAAAAACAGTGACTTAGCATCCCCCCTATATGCCAGAATGATGTGCATGTAAAAAAAAAACAGATCCATGTAATTCACCTGTACAGGTACACAGAAAAGAAAGGAGAGGAGGTTCATGATGGAAAGACCAGGAAGCAGCTGTTTCTCCAAGAACATGTTAGAGTGGTAAAGGTTGCGGTCTTCGATCGTAGCGTTGTGATGATGTGAAGCGTTCATCTTGTGGTCCATGATCATCATGTAGATCATCATGCCCATCACAGGCACGCAGAAAATCAAGCTCACAAAGAAGGACTTCCTCCACCTTCACACATAAAGACATCTTAGTTTAACCGAGTCAGTTTACAGTGTGGAGAGTACATTTCCTACTAAATCTGATAAATCAGTTTTGACATATAATCTCCTGTAAAATAATCCAGTTTCACAACAAACAATAAAAATATCACCCTAACCTTAAAAAGCTGAATGTTTGCAGCTAGTAGTGTCACACAGTTAGCTAGTTTATCAGTTGAGGAGACAACTAGGAATAAAAAGGGATGAACTGATCTTACTCTGAGCTATGGAAACCAAGGAATTGGTTCGTGTAAAAAAAACTATTTTGAAAAAATGAAATATTCATAAAAAACATTCATGCAAAAATGCTCCAAGTCTCTACAGATTAAAATCCTGCAGCACACAGAGGAAGTTTGCCAATGACCATCTAGATAATGTAGTGCAGGAATGGGAGAAGGTCAATTTTAATGCTTTCTGGTCTAAACTTCACTCGCCCTGTTTAGGGAGGAAGGAGGATGAGGAAAACATGAATCCAACCATGAAGTATGGGGGGATAAAACATCATTATTTGGGGACGTCTTTCTGCAAAGGGAACAGGACGACTACACCTTATTAAGAGGAGGATAGATTGAGCTGTGCATCTGAAGATCTTAGCTAATAGCTCCTTCACTCAGTAAGGGTTGTGGCTGGGTCTTCCAGCATGACAATGGCACAAAGGACACTGCCAGGGAAATTAAACCCTGACTCCATAACAAGGCCCTGAGGTGGCCTCGTCTATCTCCAAACCAAATAGTTCTTTATAGGTCTGTATGGCCCAGCAGCAGCTCTGAAACCTGAAAGATTTGAAGATGATCTGTATGGAGAGGTGATCCTAAATCCCTGCTACAATTAATAATACAGTCTGTAACACAGAGGTTTCTGTAACAAATATTAAGCTTTTTTCTTAATGTATCAGATACTCATGTCCAGCAATAAAATGCCAACAAATTAAGTAAAAATGTGATTTTCTGGATTTTTAGCTTTACATTCCATTACTCCCAGTTGAAGAAACCTAAGATTATATTTCTACATGTTTTGCAAATGGGGAAAATCCTACAAAATATGGAAGTGTGTTAAATACTGTGTTACGATCGCTGTATATCTAAAATAGGGCTCCTACAGCATAAGGCAAGTTAAATTCAAGACTTTTCAAGACTTTTTAATGCCACTTGAAATAAAAATTTAAGACCAAATTCACAAGAAAGCAAAAAACACACAAATGACAGATATATTTTAACAATTATTTAACTGAATTCATAAACTTTGTTTTAGCAGGGAACAAAACAAATCAGTTTTAAAGCCACAACATAACCAGTGCTAAGTCTTTTTTGCAGTTATTTTTCTTTGTATCGTTTTCTTAGTATGTTTGATTTGGTGATAAGTGGAGGTGTTGCAGAGACAAGGCTGGAACAAAACCGAGAAATACCAGCTGTTTCTCAGTAACTCCATTTTGACGCTTTGTGTTTCGTGCTTCGCATGTGCGACTCCACTGCCTTAATTCCCATCGTTCCGAGCTTGATTAACTTCTTGCACAAAATACACTGAGCCTCATGTATGTTCCCTGGTTTTAGCCATGGAGAAAACTCTTGGCTGGAGCCAATTTTGGTTACATTTACACTTGCTCATATTTTCCAGACAAAAAGTTAATGGTGCATCTCCCAAATGTCCCGGCCGCAACAACACTTTTATTGGTTCCGCTATCGGGACAGAACCAATAATGGCGAGCCAATATTTTTTTTAAATAAAAAAAAAATGTCAATTTTAATGTTTTATTTAGATTACAAAAATAAATCGAAATAAAAATAATCCTATTTATGTTTTAAAAATTAAGACCTACGAAAGACTGATTTAAGACATTTTAATACCAATTAAGGCCTTAGTTTTATTTTGAAGAATTCAATGACTTTTAAGACTTTTTAAGGACCCGCGGGAAACCTGTAAAAACTTTAAATCGACACATGTTTATAATGTCCAGAAAGCAAATATAATCTCCCATTATATAGTATTAAAGAAAAACTAGCTAAAGTTTTAACAGGAACTATTTCGGGGTGATCATTTCTTTCTTCCATTTTTCTATGCTAAAACATTGTTTCAAAAAGCTCTTAATTTGACTAGAGCCTCAAATTGAAGATAAAAACTTTGAGTGCTGTTGTGTTGATAGGAGACTGGAAACAGGGAGGAGCTTACTGTCGTATCTCTTTGCTGTGGTCCAGGTGACTGGCTGAACGGTCCCGCTTCACTAAAGATGCTTCAAAGCCCAAATTCTACAAAAACAACCTGATGTTTAAGACTCATAATGATAGATGAGACCGGAAAACTACTAAAATGGTTTGAACGATGCAGGACAAATCTACGGCCATACCTCGATCAGCTTGATGATGTCTCGTGGTCCAATGACTTCTGCGTCATACTTGACATGAGCTTTATTGGTCGCCAAGGCAACGGAGGTATAAATAACCCCCTTTTCTCTAACGAGGGTTGATTCGATTTTATGAACGCAGGAGGCGCACGTCATCCCCCGGACCTGGGGGCAAACAGAAACGACCATATGAGTCAGGCTGAAGGCAGCAGTGATTGCATTTGCTGGAAATAAATGGTTGTGTTTGCGATCTACCCACCACGAGTTCGAGGTTTCCATCTGAGCCTTCGTAGTTCTCCATCACTGAGGCGGTGAAGCCCAGCTCCCTCACACACTCCGCTATCTTCAGAGGATCCGTGACCTCAGAGCTGTAACGGACCTCTGCTTTGCTGGCCATCAGAGCCACCAGGACGGAGTAAATTCCTGAGAGACATTCAAGATTATCCTCTGTGTAGCATTCATAGGGAGTGAACTCTGTTGCATTACTGTTGCTGCCAAAGAATAGGTTTTGTAAAATGTATTTAAAAAAAAAGAAATCTAGAAATAAAACATGTAAAAACTTCTTACTGGAAAAACAAAAGGTTGTGAGTAAATTTTTATTTCTCCAACGATTATTATTATTATTTATTTTTTACAGTTTTAGTATTTGTTTAGATTTTTAGATTGAGATTTACTAACGTAAAACTCTAAAATCTAATGCAGCTTCTTGGGAGTTCCCCCATTTTTACAAAATCTGACAAAAAATGTTTTGCACATTTAACCTGTTATAAAATACTTTTTCATTTTTAAAATTTGTAAATAAATAAATGAATTAATACATAAAAAAGTAAAAAGATGCATTCTTTTCAAACTGCATTTTGCTCTTGAGTGATAAACATGTTGTTGCCAACATTGAAGCAGACCAGTAGAAATGCGAGGAAAGCCCACCACTAGAAGTGAAAACAATACGAACTTTAAAACCCGATTTGAAAAGAAAGCAGTTCCCAAAACTCAATCTGATAAAAGAAAAATTTGAAAAACAAGATATATAAATTTAAAAAAAAAACTTAAATTAGATCACATTATTGAAAAAGAAAACAGTAAAATTCTCTTTTTTTCTCGATTTAACGTTTTTTTTCCAAAGCTGCATTTCTTAATTCCATTTTTTTTGTTACAAGTTCTTTGCTTGCAACAACAAATTCTCTCCATATCTTTATCAGCAGAAAATCGACAGCTCTGGGAATAGTTAGCGAATCTTATTTTTGATTTTACCCACCAGCTTCGTTTTTAAGGTTTCGCTCAATGTTCGACACACATGAAGCGCAGGTCATTCCTCCGATCTGGATGTAGCATTTAGAGGGCGTGTCTCCGGTGGGTTCCAGGAGCGTTTCCTTGTGGAGCTCGTTATCCAAGTCCTTCTTCTGGATACGTGGAGACTTTGGTAATATGGGATCTGATGCAGGCAGCAGGGAATTGCTCTCTGTTGGTGAGAAACAGTGTGGAGATTTATTTTGCAGGAATCATTTATACAGCTTCAAAGCAGTCAGACATTCCTGCAGTTTTCTCTAAATTGCTCTGATCAGATGCTTTTCTGGCTTTTTGATGTTCTTCTAAATCTTTACATGGACTTTGTCTGCATTTTCACTCTTATATTCCAACAGGATATAATTGAAAAAAGAAACTTCTCAGTGCGCTGTAAAAGAAATACTGCTGCTCTTAAACTGGTTTCTCTCCAGCCTCCCCAGTTATCAGATCTCAGTCCAGTAGAACGGCTTTGGGAGGACATGGAGTAGGAACAGCAGATGGAAATTACCGTAAATTCTCTAATATTGGCCTGTATTCCATTAGCGGCCGGGACTCTAACATTGGCCGGTCTCGCTGTCAGAGGAGGTAAATAATGGCCGGTCTCCCATACAGGGCGGGGCTATAAACGTTTTTTCTGGGCATACCTCAACATTATACTTGTGGTAGTAACATACAAGTAGGCTACCACAGCCCTGCGCTGCTGGACGACAGGCCCTGACTGCTGCCCGTCTGCGCGAGGAAGAGAACAGACACGCAGCAGAACATGAGGAGGAGCGCGAGTGATGAGGAGATTCAAGGGAGAGATGAAGAGGAGGAGGAAACTGAGGAGGAGGATTAAACAGAATTGGAGGATTTTTTTTTTTCTTTTTTACTTCAAACCAAGCGAGACGTGGTAACTGTACTTTTTCAATAAATGAACCTAGTGTTTTATAGGTTCAAATAGACACAAAATCTCATTTTTATTCATTCCACTGGTAGTCTATCTTGCTCAAATAGCAATAGAGGCCTGTCTCTAATTCTGGCCTCTTTCCAATAAAGGCCTGGACCGCGATGCACTTGAGTGAAATAAAGGCCCGGGCCTATATTAGAGGATTTACGGTATGCAGCACCTTCACAGTGCCATCGTGTCACTAAATCTTACCATTGTCTTCAGTTCTGATGACAGAGCAAAGTCCAATCCAGTACCAGTAAATTTTGCCTAAAGAAGTGGCCAGTGAGTTTCTATAAATATCACAGGGGTTCCTTGCATGGCTAAAATTCTGTACACAGATAATCCATCAGAAATTGAATTTTAAAAAACTATATATAATCAGATTACTATGAGTCTGGTTGCTGCAAATGAAAAGAGCTTGTCTATTACATGGCACGGAGTCTTACCAGGCAGAAAAGCATCAAAGCCCATATCTTCCACGGCCTCTTTCAGCTCCTCTGGTGTGGTGTGCAGAGGATCATACTCAAATACTCCCTGGTGGTCAGTCAGAGACACCTGAGCTGACCTCACCCCCTTTCTTTGGGACATCATTCCTTCAATAGACTGCACACAGGAGTTGCACGTCATGCCTTCAATGTGAATGTTAACAGCAGCCACCAGCGGCTGGGTAAAACATGGCTGAGTAGCGGCAGGTCTGGGATGCAACGCCGTGGATACAGGACTGAGTGTGTGGGAGAAGTCCAGAGGTTCAGTCTTAAAGTTTCCAGGAGGGAGAGCTTCAATGGCCTGCTGCAGCTGAGTCACTGTGACCTTCAGAGGATCGTAGCATATGGAGGCCTCCTCCTTCTCCAGAGACACCTCCACGGAGGAAACGCCAGGCAGCATGGAGATGTTGTCCTGAATATTGGCCACACAAGAACGGCAGTGCATGCCTTTCACCCCGAGCCTGGTGAGCGCCGTGTCTATGAAGACCTCTGTCTCCTCAGACGTCTCGGATGGGGAGGAGAGCGTCGCTTTTTGAGAATCGATGAAACGTTCCATGTCTCTGTGGGACAGCTGCAGAGGGAGGGACTTGGACTTCACAGTGGCCTTGAATCCGGCCACGCCTATCTGGTCGATGATGGTCTGGATGGTGATGAGGTAAGGCAGGTAGACGACTGTAGCTTCCTGAGAGTCCAGAACAACTGCAGAGAGGAAAAAAAAAAAGAAGAGAAATTACAGAACTAGTAATGAAAGAAAATATACAGCTTTTCACCTTAGAGACAGATAAACATATAAATAATGGGCGCATATTACTAGGAAAACATCTCACTGTAATATTACTAAAGAATATTGCAGTGATGTGGGGTCACTTTTTCTCCAACATAACCTTAAAATCTTTTGAATCAGACAAACAAAAATATAAGCAACTTATAAAAGCAGTTTTCAAATTATGATTTCATCTATAAAGTGAAAGGCTGGAAAAAACCAACTGGCTTTTGTAACATAACAACCGTTAGACCCAATTTCTATCTTTGGTCTCAAGATTTTCAAACATGAACTTTTTTAAGTTCCAACTACTTACTTTGACTAGATCATGCCAAAAAAAATAAAAATAAAACATAAACCTTAAGATTTTCTGTCTAAAGAGCTGAATACATGGATTCCCTCAGCATCACACTGCCACCACTGTGTTTGAATGTAGGCATGCCGTTATTTTTTTTGTTTTGAAAAAGACGTAACAGGAAACCATCATTTAGGGCTAAAAGTAACGATTTCAAATAATCAATTATCGATCAGATAGCAAAATGATCCTGAAAGATTTTATACAGAATCGAAACCAGATGAAGCTAAAAATCAGCCACTTAAGTGGGAATTATTAGAACATATTAACAGGCAAATAAGGTTTTTCACCTTAAATACAAAATTCTGATATAGCTTTTTTTTTTTGTATTTTTGTATAGTTACTGCTCTGAGTGGATTGTTTTTTCAACAATTGGTTTGTATACTCCAGTTAACAATTAATTATTATTAGTAAACAATTAAACGATTATTTATATAATCGATTAATCAGGAATAACCTGATTGTTTAACTCCTACATAACTTTAAAATAGGATCTTTCCTTTTTCTATGTCTGTCTGATATTAAATATTATTATGCCACAAGAAATCTGGAGGAAACACATATCTTTGCAGCTGTACAGCCATTATTTCTAGATGTCGCTTCAAACATCAACACAACATCAAAGTAGCCCTTCATGGGGATTTTTGAACGCTCTGATATGAAGCTGGTTAGCTTAAAACTGCATTTAAACAAAAAAAATAAATCAGACTTTATGAAAGAAAAGATTTTACAGAACTTTGGTCAACTATTAATATAGTTCTTAAATGACTACAATCAACCAAAATATTAATATTGAAATACAATCTTAAAAAAATGCTAAGGTACTCTCACAACCATTTTTTATTAAAGGCACACTATGCAACATTTTTCAGTTAATTAATGTGTTCCATAACGTTATGGATGATTAAATGAGTCATTTCAGGTTGAACAAAGGTTTTCTCGGCCGCCCTGGTGGCCTGTGGGGGAAATACTGCACTTGCAACTGCAGGAGCACCGACCCGCACCCACAGGCTCAGAAGTCTCGTGAGAGTCAGTCTTGCTTTACGGCGAGAACTGCTACACGCCCCCAGTTAAAAGCATTCTCGTTGCTAGCACAGTGGCAATCTTTGTGCAGTTATGCTACGTTCACGCAGCAAAAGCAGCAAAATCGCGTCTGCTGCTTCATTTTTGCTGCTTGTACCAGTTAGTTCTGACGCCGCGGCTGAAGCAGCTTTGCTGCTCTGGCTGCGGTGCAAAAGTGTGTCTGACGCGCGTTGGGCGGAGCTTCACTAACCTTTCTCTGCCTTGCAGCTATATTTGCTGTGATCAGTGGGAATAAAGTAGTTTTAATATGTGTTTAAGTGAGAAAATACACCTGAAAATGTAGTCAGTGCAGTCAGTTCATTCAGATTATTATCCTGCCTTCAATATTTTTTCTGTCGGAGCCGCTCAGACCCCCACATACCAGCGGTGCGCCGACAGTATGGATCCCTTCATCAGCGGCCTCTGGCCGGGTTGCCTCCTCGCTGTTCACCGCGGCAGCTGGTAGGTGTTTTTCATCTAAATAATCCAAACTGCATATTCTGCCAGCAGATTTCTGCATTTTAAGTTAATTTAGGCGTCAAACTGTTTAAGAGGAGTGATCATCAGCGCTGTGTCTCTCTCCCTGCGTCAGATGCTTAAACGCACCCGACGCGCTGCTTCAGCTGCTCAGACGTGCTGCGCCTGCTGCTCAAAACGCGCCGCGGGACCTTTTGCTGCGCCTTGACGCGCGTCAACCATTGACTTTGCATGTAAACTCGCTGCTTCTGTCGCGCCAGCTACGTCCAGTGTGAACGCAGCATTAGTCATTCGCTGCTAAGCTCAAAACAACCGCGCCTGGCTTGACGGAGAAACCAGGAGAACAGCTGTGCATATTTACGACAGTGCACTTTTACTTTCGCCCTCTGGGGGGAGCCTCGCTGGAAAATCAACACCGGTTGCATAGTGTACCTTTAAATAGTTTTTTCAACGTCTTATTTCTGGACTGCATATATTTGTACTGTCAAATTTCCATTTACAAAATATGTTCTTTACTAAGGCCTGTGACAATAGCAAGTGTTCCCGTATGACAAACTGCCCCAGAAATTAAAACGATATACGATAATATTGTCATTCGGTTTGAATCCAAAGTGCTCCAACGTTGCAGCTGTCGGGTTCAGCTTTGAAGCCAGCTCCATCTCAACTAGCATTATTCTAGCTTTGCTTCTCCTCAGCCAGAAGGCGCCCATGTGACACTAATGAAACCATAAGGGGAGGGGTGGGCTTAGACCGATGTACCAGAATAAAACCTCAATCTATGGTACAAAGGCAGGGATATATGAGGAAAACATAAATTATTTAGCTCATTTGAATCTATCATGCAATTAATTTTCATTGTCCAATTAATTGATTTATTGTTTATGGTTAAAGGCCTGTCTTTACTTGCAACAATAATGGAACAAAATTCATTCCATACACCCTGCATGAAAACGTTTAAGTTTTCACAATATGTCCACTAGGGGGCAGAGTTATACTACCAGACATGCTTTCAGAGCACGAAACAGCATTTCTACACAAACATGTTTTTGTTACCATATACACGTCTACTCTACGCCTTTTACAAAGAATAACAACAAGATCATCCTCTGAATATAAATAATCCATTATAACATTAGAACTAATAATTAAAGATTTTTGTCTAACCCTGTAAATGCTAAAATTGAATGCAAATATACATTCATTTCATGTTTTACCCATGCTTCTTTGTGTTTGTATGAAAGAAGTGAGGATCTTTTAAGTCAGCAAAAAAAAAAAAAAAAAAAAAAAAAAAAAAAACAGGGGATGCAACCTATTTTGCTGACCTTTTAAATTGATAGTAAAGCTTCTGCTCTACAAAGAAAAAACGTAAAACATTTAAACCTAAGTGGGAAATTATCGAGGAGGGTCCATTGTCACCATTGTCCAGCAGTTATCTAATTATTTGCTCTGTATAGGGCTATCTAACAACATTAAGACAGTAGAAATAATTAATAACGTGTGATGCTGTGTCTTATTTAAGGTCTGGTCAACATTTTTTCTTTGAAAAAAGGAGTAGGGCATGATCTGGTGGCGCAGTGGTTAGTGCACACAACCCATTTATGGAGGCCTTAGTCATTGACGCAGGCAACGGGTTCAAATTCGGACTGTGGTCCTTTCCCGCATGTCTCTCCACCTCTCTCATAACCCCTTTCCTGTCAGCCTACTATCCATAAAAAATTATATAATAACCCTCTAGTGCTGTAAAAACTCAAAAAAAAAAAAAAAAGAAAAAAAAGAAAAAGCATGAATGTAATCATAAGACTCAAATAATCTGTTGTGAAATCTCACTAGTAAAACATTATGTTTTGCTGTGGATTAAACGCCTGACTGTCAATTTACCCTTAAATATTTAAGCAGCAGTATTTTCCTTTAACACGAGTTAAATAAAGACTTTTTTTTTTTTTTACCTGCAACAGTTTTTCAGTTTTTACCATGCGGTAAGTGCTTCTAGAAGAGTGCATAAAGCCGGCTGCTCATATGCTGATTGCAAACACAAACACGTACTAAGCTAATATAATCCTATCTGTATACATGTCATTCCCTGCAACAACACCTGAGAGAGGATTTCATGAATCATACTCAAATCCATAAAGGCAATTCCTGAGGGTTCACGATGACATGACCCTGACCCTGTGAGACGTGCGGTGCAGCATCTCAGCTGAGGAACTAACACGTGACTGCAGGTTTCAGAGGCGTTCAAGTACTTCACCTTTGATCTTTTTAATCCCTTTCAGTTTTCCAATCTTCCCTTCAATGGTGGTGGTGCAAGAATGACAAGTCATTCCTTCAATGCTGAACTTCAGAACTGCGGCTCCAGCGCCCACAGCATCCGACTGGGACAAGTTAAGGTCTTTCTGCGAAGGGCTGCCAGGTGTTGGGATTTCCTGAGGTGATGCGGCGGCCATCACCTCTCTGAGCAGCTGTATAGAGGTCAGGGAGGGAACAAAAGTGACGGTCAGGCCCATGCTGGGTGGGCTCTCCTGGACATCCAGCACCCCCGGAATTTCTGACAACTTCTCCAAAGCCTGGTGTTGAGCAGCAGATGTTAACCCTGAGGTGGGAATCAGCTGGGTGTCTGTAGATACCGGTGTAGCAGTGCTGCTCTCTGGTACACTAGACTCAAAGCCCATGTCCTCGATGGCCTCTGACAGAGACTCAGGGCTCTGCTCACTGGGGTCAAATATGACCGTGGCACTCTTCTGCTCTAAAGACACCTAGAAAATAAAAAAATTGATTAAAATCTTTATTTAAGATGGAAAAAATATGATATTGTGTAGAATCAGAGATCATTTTTGTTTCCATTAGGGATCAGTATTTATTCTGACAGACTGTAATATGTAAAACATATTGGGGATGAACAAACCCAACACTACGGGGTAATTTAAATCAAAGATTATTAGGCTGCTGAAAATAGTTCAAACTCCAGATCTGGATCATGTTAAGACTTAAAACCATGTGTTTAAAGAAAGAACATGTCCATTTAATATTGCAGACTTAAAGCTTCTTAGAAGAAAAATGGCAGCATCAGGATCCACAAATCTGGTTGAGTAGACTAAGATGGTAACAAGGTTAGCCTTTTATCACCTAAAGAACATCTCCGGGATTAAAGGACTAGTATCTTAGCAGGACCTTAAAAAACAAATGAATGTGTTCATCTTTAGTAGAATAGATTAAAGCAAAGATGTCTTCGCAGGTCTGACAAAAAAGTAAATCAGAAAGCTGCAGTTGATTGAGAATGCAGCTGCCAGCATCCTCACCAAAACGAAGAAAGTGAAGAATATCCCCCTAGTGCTAAAATCATTACACACAGAAAATATACTTTAAAATACTTCTGTTAGTCCATTAATGGTTTATCTCCTAAATACATCACAGGTGTGCTGTTAGAGGATCAACGACATCTGAGATCTTCTGGCTGAATTCTACTCTACAGAAGTTAGTTCTTATCCTCCACCAATCTGGAACAAACTCCTAGTAATCTGTAAAAGCAAGATTAAAAATGCATTTCTTAGTCTTCACTTCTTAGTTTCAATCCTTTGTAGCCAAACTTTCTTTATAATCATTTTAGCACTTTAATCATAATTTTTGCACTGTATTTATCCACATTTATCAATTGTTTAGTTAACTACATGACACTGCAATTTACTTTTCTCTGAGGTTTTTCTTTGTGTACTTTGAATTGTCCTGCTACTGAAATGTACTGTATAAATAAACTTGCCCTGCTCAGCTGATTTGATTTTAAACAGCAGCCATATTTCTATCTTTATACTTAGATTTACAGTACATATAAACTGATAGTCACAGCTGTGTTCCGATCTGACTGACACTGGGCTACATAGAAAGGTTTATCCCACTGGTTCAAATCAAACAGTCCATTTCTTTTATATAAATAGAAAGATGTTTTGTTTTTAAATGGCATAATAAATCAAAATTGAGGGTTTTGCATCACAATCAGCTCTGGAATAGCACATAAGTAAATCCATTTTATATTTCACTTAGGGCTGAAACCAAAGATTATTTTGCTATTTTACTGATTTTTTTTTTATTGCTGAATTAATAATCGATATTTAAAAGTGCCTTAAAGAAGACTTTATACACTTTAATTAGTTAGTTGGTTGAAGATTATTTCAATGATTGATTAATTAGCTCTAATTTCAGCTCATAAGAAGCATCAGTTTGTCTTGTAAGGTGCCTTTTGGGGCGGTTGGGTGTGTTCAAATTCAAGGTATGCATCCTTCAAAAGCAGCATTTTAGACCACGATAATTCTTGGTATATGAAGTAAATGTTTCACAAAGACACCTAGCCAAAACAAAATAAATAAAAATAAAAGCAGTCTTCAGATATTGGAAGTATTTTCAAAACACTTTCCTTCGTAACGCCAGTGAAAAGAGGGGCCAAATACCAATGCCCACCAAACCTCTATGATTTCTACTGGAAAATAGCGTAAAACCCATTTAAACTTTTACATAAATATGCACCGTTTTGTTTTGCTTTAGAAAATAAATTCAGAAAAATAAAAACTGAAACACCTAGAAATCTGTGTTTGCAGTCCAGGAAAAACGTGGCTGCGATACAAGGCATATTATATGCTCATCATAGCAATTTATACTGAAGTTCAATGATTGTTTAGATAACATACAGAAATGACCTTATACAGCCAAACTATATCAGCTCTAATTCAAGAGCATTTTACAGCCTCAGTCTGAGGTCTTTGGTCAGCTTATGGCATGTTCAGTCAGCACGATGACCCCTAAAGTTGCGTTCTTGAGCAAGAAGGAAACATGTGACGATCAGAAGGCATCACCTGACTAAGCCGTAAGGTTGTTTTTTTTTAAAGAAAGGGAAGTAGTTTCTCTCTGTGTTGGGGGTTATTTAACAATCTTACAATAACAGAACAAAGAAAAATACACTTTGTTCTACCAAGAGAAAAGAAAAACCAATTCACTATGCATCAATCATTGCTAAACAGATTAACCGAAATAATCCGGGCACTAAATTCTGTTAAACACAACAATTTCCTGAGGGTGCAGAGGATATATCGACCTCCTGTCACAGTCCTTCAAAGGGAACTTTTGGGAACACAATATTGCATTATCTTCTCATTCAACCAGAGCCTGAGGGGTAAACATAAAGTAAACAAATAAGCAGACCACCACTACCGCAATTAGGTTGTCTAGTATGGCTGCACTGTTGGAAATCATACAAGCTGCTCCTGAGGAAACAGAGCTGTAAAACGAAATCAGTGAGTAGAGAAATACATAGATTTAAATGTAAGAGACTTAAAATGAGGTATTTAATGCTAAACAAGAACAAAAGTAAAGATATATTGAAGTAAAGATGAGCCGTCATTACCTTTATTTGTATGACTCCATGCAGAGACCCGATCCGCTGCTCTATGGACTGGACACACGAGCCACAGGTCATACCCTCAACTCCGAGGGAAACAGAACTCAAGCTGACTTTCTGTGTCATGACTGCTTTGTCTAAAACCACAACAGAATCACAGTTTTTAAGTATCAAAACAAACACATAAAAAAAAACAGAAAGAGAAAAAAATGGGAACAGAGGAAAGGGATTTTTTTTTCATGGTACAAAATAAAACAAGCCTTAGCAACTGATTTAAACTTTCATTGAAACTTTCGATGAAAACAAACCCTGCAAATGAAAAGAATAAGCCATGTCAGTAAAAGCCTTCAGTACAATCATGTATTGTTTTGGGTTTTCCAGCACCTCTAGCCTTGTAATTAGCAATCTGGTTAATATACTAAATATTTGTTTACTACATATTCGAACAGATAAAAATACAACACAATCTAGATACCGATTTCCATATCAAGTTTATGTACTACTTTGCTTTATTTCCTTTTTATCACACTATTTTAACTAATATATTTCTAGTTTTCTGTTTTCTTTAACTTATATCAGAAATATTCTGATCTTCAACATGAAATTACTATGAGAAGTTTATTATGTTTTATATAGTTTTGTAATCTTTTATATTTTCGATGCAGCAATTTGTTAGCTCCTAATTTTATCTAATTTATTAATTTACCAAACTAAAATAAATGATCTAAGAAGCATCACATGTAATAAAGCAGCTTTTCAAGTCGTTGATATTGTTAATAATCTTAACAAAAGCAAACTTTGCTCTCTATAATGAGTCAGAGCTTGCTGTCTATATGAGCTTAATGTCTAAACGTCTTAAACTTTATTTCTTTAAGTGTCTAATTGTTTTTAAAAGCAGTTATTTCCAAGTTACTGCAGGGCTATGTAACTTCTTAGATCCTGTCATCTAGACTGTATGTCTTTTTATTTATAACTTAAGCCTACTTCTACAGGTAAATACCTTTAAGATCCTTTTAAAAATAGTATTTCAGATTGGAAAGACTCTGGTTTCTACTTTAAACATCAAAGACAAACAAATCAAACACAAGCTGAATTTTGCATCAGTTAACAATTCAGTTCCACGATAGGAAATAAATCAAATCACAATTTCCCTACTTGCCATGTCTAATAAGTATAATTTATCTAATGTGAAAAATAAAGAATGTAAAGGGCTGATTAAGCACATCAAAAGATAAATTAACTGAACCGGTTAGCTTTCACGTCGCTTTACCCATAAAACCCCAATACAAGATCTTCAGCTCTATCAAGATGTCAATATCTGTCAAAAGACTAAATAAACTACCCCAAAAAATGACTTTATAAAGTGATGAACTCCTACCTTTAGTTGTGAAAAGGAAACGTTAGCTGCTAAGTCAGTGTTGACTGTCAAGCTGCGCGGCTAAGCTAACAAGCTAACATAGTCTCCACCGCTCCTTACAGTGAACTAGATAAATCCGTCTGAACATGGCGGCAGGCGTTAAGTCCGATTAACTACTTCTACCAGTGAATACATCGTTTTCTTCTCTTTGCTTCTTAAAACTGTTCTGTTTCCGCTTCTTTCTACAAGTGCAGACCTCAATAACTGACCACTCTGTCCCAGAGCCACGGAGTCACTTCAAGGGGGCGGAGCTTATTGGCTGGGGCGAGATCAATGTGCTGCGGGTTAATTTTGCCCTGAGGATGGTCTTACGGCTTCTTGGGCGCAATATCAAGAGACGTTAATCGATTTTGGGATAATAAAAATGTCAATAAAAACGTATACGTAGACGTCTGAATTTGTAAATGAACATGTGAATAAACATAGGATTCATATTTGTTCCTTGTTTTCGACTGAGATACATGTGGTAATACAAGTTTGGAAGTTATGTTTACAAGTTACAAAGTTACAACTCTGCAACAATACTAGTACAAATTCAAACATTTACGTATATGAATAAGAACATTTACAAGAACAAAGGACACATTTATTAGTGTGAATCACAAATTTAAAAATACAAATCACAAATTCAAAGTCATGAATCACATTTTGATGAGGTCATATGACAATTTTACAAATATTTATCACAAATTTACAAATACTAATCATAATTTTAAAACAATGAAATCCAGAATTTACTAACGCTAATCACACCTTTACAACTATAAATCACACAGTTACGAATATGAATCTCAACTTTACAAATATGAGTCACAAATGTACACGTACCTATCACAAATGTACAACTACAAATCACAACTTTAAAAATACTAATCAGATATTTACAACTATAAATCACATATTTACAAATGCTGATCACAACTTTACATCTATAGATCACAAAATTACGAATATGAATCATAAATTTGTGTGTACAAATAAATAATTTATAAGTACTCCTCACAAATTTACAAATATGACAAAAAAAAAAGTTAAAAAAAAAGTAGCAATGACAAATTTACAACCTCAAATCACAAATTTACGAATACCTATACATTTACAAATACTACTCACAACTTTATGTCTATAAAACAGAAATTGAATCACAAATCTGCGAGTACAGATGAGGCATTTACAAATACAAATAACAAATAAATTTTTTGGTACATCCACAGAAGGAAAATATTTTCTTTTTAATTCCTCTGGAAGCAAAGTTTTGACCTTCCAGCTGAGCTAACACTAATTAAAATAACAATCCTGGTGGATGTACATACTTGCTTTGTACATAATGTAAAAGCATTGCAAGCTTTTACTGCTTACATATGCAGCTGAAACAGGGTACCTATATATATACACATTAAAAAAGACTAATCTTCTCCCTCACTGTTTGATATTAAACCATATTGAATTTTTTCTGCTTTAGCTTGGTTGGCATTTTCTAAAAACAACTTAATTTGGTCTTTCAACTCCACACTTTTCTAAGTATTGGGCAATTAGCAGATCACAATAATAAAGTCTGCAGGTATTGCATTTACAAAGAAAGACACTATTTATTGTATTGATAGTGTTTATACTGTTTGCAATTTTACATTTTATGTATATTTTTAAACAGTGTAAAAACAGTTCATAACCATTTTGTCTGTCCATGGCAGCTTGACAATGTGTGTCAGATTGCAAGAAAATGCAAGGGGAAATAATTCCCATTTTTATAAAAAAAAAATGGCTTACAGACGGTATATAGATTTTTATTATTGCATACATACATACATTACATACATTTCAAAGCTGCTAGTGTATTTGACTGTCACACTGGTGATAATGGAATGCATGGAGAGACTGGTGTTACTGCAGATCTAGGCCCTCATCCCAAACGACTTTGACCAGCAGTTCTATAGGTCCAGAAACAACATCATCTTCATTGTTCTTCACTTAATTGTGCTCTTAGCCATATATAAGCTTACATCTAGATGCTGTTTGTTGATTTCAGTAAGGTATTTAACTCCATCAGCCCTAAACAATTTAGCATAAACTGCAAGATCCCATAAACTGCAACTAGAACCATCCCGTATCAATGGATTCCAGGATGTCATGATGGGGACCTCCTCATTATTCACCTCCATCCTCAATACTGATGTTCCCAAAGGGAGTGTTCTGAGCCCAGCCTTTAATGCACTGTACAGCCCTGACCGGGTCTCCATACACCCATGCACCTAAGCCCTGGCTGGCTGCTACAATGAAAACACCAAGAGAAAAAAAATAATAATTATTTGCCTGTGCAAATTCTCAGAGATCTACGTCAAGGCAACCACAAAACAGGCTTAAATCGGAGACAATTTGACTTAAATCAGCTTTTCTTTTCTTTGTCAATTCTGTCGACCTGCATGAGATAGCATCCAAAAGGCATACGGTTTACGGTTCAGGCAAACTTTGAAGGCAGTTACTTTACAGATTGCTCGAGTGCTGTTTTGTGGTTAAAATTACCATTTCTTTCTATCTGTGGCGTTCAAGTCTGCGCTCAGGCCTGATAATTATTGAGAAAGAAGTGTAGTGAGTCCAAACGTTTCTCAGACTGTGTACTTTAGAGGAACTGGGCTGGACTGCGAACACCACAAAAATTAATTATAAGGCAACTTCTGAAGCACTTTCACCAGGTTTTACTTAGAGGGTAACACAGTAAGGGGGCTGGATACATATTCATGCATTTTCAGATTTACAGTTGAAATCAATGTTGTAACCCATGTACAGTAACCCATTCCTTTTACTTCCCCATTCTGTATGTTTACTTTCAGTTTCTATTACTTCAGTTTTTAAGCCTGTTGCAATGTAAATCTCTTGCTAAACCTGTTTTCTGCCAACCTTTGCTCCTCCCATGTTGTATGTTTGTTGGAGTTTTTGGGATTAAACATGACAATCATTATAGGAAAGAGAAGTGATTTATTTAAAGGAAAACTGACAAACATATCCTTGGCTTGCTCTTTAAACAAATCACTTTAATAAAAGTGTATATCCTGAGTAAAAGATTAAAAGAACCTTCTCCCTGACAGGCAGTTTAAATAACTTTAGTGAATTGTTTCTGATAGCTGTCGACCAGTCTGCGCTGGGCGGACAGGACATGGAATACAGAGAGAAAAACAGGCAGTGTAACAGAAGAATTCAGTAAGGTGCAATGACAAAGTAAGAGCTGAAATACCAAGGAGGAGGTGGAACAAGGAACCACATATGCCAATCAGAGTAGATGTAAAACAGCTCTTGTAAAAAAAAAGCAGGCAAACTACTGGACTTATAAATAAATAACACAGGAGGAGCAAAACTAGGAAACAAAGAAGCTTTTCTGTACTAAGTCATATAAATAAAAATTTGCTAAAACTATTGAGAAACCCTCTAATGCATTGAATTCAACATGTGCATTCGTCCACAGTTAAAGGTATAGCGGAGGATGTTCTATTTCCAGGTGGAATATCAAAATAAGTGGTGCTCCTAATTGTCTATCATTCTGGTGATATGTTTATGTAAGTACGTCCTACATGCTTGTATCCATTATCATGTACCGGTGGAGAGTCTGACATAATGGAAAAACTGCTAATCTTCTTTTAGAAAGTAAGCTTGTATGAACGATGCAAACAGCAACTTTTAAACAGAGGGTGCAACAGGAAAAATGGGCTTGTGCACGTGCTTGCATGCTTTTAATAAGGGTTCCCTCTTGGGAGCGGGTACAGGTTTGTGCAATTGCATTTTTTTTAAAGTAGAGAGGGCGGGTCTTTTCAAAAATTTGTGAAAATACTCCATCATACCTTTAACTGTTAGTCGAAGCATAAGAAACTATGGGAAAATGGGGGGAAAAAAATAATTGACATGAAGTGGTAACCAATTGTCTGCAGAGTCAATAGCTAGAAACCTCCATCATGTGCAATAAACAGGTTTGGAAGTTCTAAATCCAGTCCATTTTTCTTTGTTAAAAACAACCAAATTCTGTACATAAAATAAATAAATTAATAAAACATAAAACAGCACAGATAAAAAAAAGCAAAACAGCTAAAACATGGGTAAAAATAAAGGAATAAAAGATAGAAAAAGATGAAATAAAGACCACTGTCTTGCTAGGTGTTAAAGCCAAAGAGAAAAGGTGAGTTTTGACAAGAGATTTAAAAGCAGTCAGAGAAGAGACCTGTCTGATGTGCTGAAGCAGATAATTTCAGAGCTTTGGAGCTGCAACAGCCAAAACGTGGTCCGTTCTGAGCTTCTGCTTAGTTCTAGGCTGTCTCAGGAATTAGAATGGGGTGCAACCTAGTACTGGCATGCTGTCCTGATATAGTAGCCTTGAGATTTATACTTGTATTTGTCTAAGACTTTAACTTTGGCCCCAAGTCTTTGGCACTGTAGGAACTTTAAATTTGGCTAATATTAATTCCCAGGAAGTTCTTGAGGTGGCACAGTGATAAACACAAATGTCCTTCAGAGTCTGATAGTTGTTTACAAGATAACAGACTCTGACACACTGACCCACTTTCTCAGCATGTTGTACACACAGACCCTTGAAATAAGCACACATATAATAAAATATTTAGAAGAATTATATTAAAACTGAAAATTCAAAAATATAAAATATAAAAAAAAATATCTGAGCAAAAACGAATTAACACTAAAATATGGAGCTAAAGTTGCCATCAAAACTTTTTTCGTTTAAAACTTTTTCAAAATTACAATTTTGGGTTGCATTTTTCTTTTTTTGTCATAAACATTTAGTTCACAACATGTGATTTTTCCAATTACAATTTATAAAACATGTTCTTTGCTTTCAAAAATAACAGAATTGACTCCATAAAACACCAGAATAAAAACATGTTACCCTTAAAGCATTCTTTGAGCAGAAAGTCCGACCAGGTCTTGGTACGCTGGTGTGGAATTCAGTTTTCTGATCCAAATATCCTTTAATGATAAAGGGTTATTTCTGTAGACCATTGCAAAAACATTTCACCCCTTGAACATTTTTTATATTTTGCCATCTTTGAACCACAAACTTTGCTGCATTCTGGCCAAGAATCTCTGTAAAAAACTAAAACGTGTTGTGCAATAGTGAAGTAGGAAGAAAATGATTAGGTTGTTTTCAAAGGAAAACAACCTCCACCCTAAAATAAACCAAAATCAGTGTTAATTGCCAAGTTTGTGAGCAAAAAACAATGAATTTAACTTTTGTTCTGCT